CATTTTTACTAGTAGTAATATGATGTGGGTGAACATGGAAACCGAAAGAAGGTGCCCCTCAAAACACTAGCTGTCGCAAGGCCATCAGATCGGAGGTGCCCAGCACTACTTAAGAAAGAGCTCTGGTGCCAACATGGAAATATGACCCCAGGGAAGATCTCAGCTGAGTGAGGGACATCTGGGTCGGTCGGAGGGAAAGAGATGAAGGAAACAAGCCTGTGATGTGGGGGTTCAGTGGGTTGTGCCGGCAGCTGTGCAGCTCCAGCCAAATCACTCCACGTCTCCACGGACAGGTCTGTGCACAGTTGGAATAAGATGCTGCTATCAGGTGTCATGAAGAGCCTGTGCCTGTCCCCTCCAGCAGCGTCCAGCACATTACCAAACTCACTGCCATCGAGTCAGTGCTGGTTCATAGGGCGCCCTGGGGAGCAAGGGAGAACTGCTCCTGTGGGTTTCCGAAACTGTAACTCATTATTGGACTTGAAAGCCTCCTCTTTCTCCCATGGAGTAGTTGGTGGTTTCAAACTGCTGACCTTGTGGTTAGCAACCCGCTGTGTCACCACTCCGCCACCACTCTAGCATATAACCAACACTCAAGAAATACTTGTTTGTTGGTTGGTTAAGAGAAGCACACATGCACATTCTGTCTGCACCCACATGCAGGCAGTAGAGCGCAGACATTTTGTGGCCATGCTAAGACCACCGTGGATTGCGTGGGTGCAGCTTATGCTGAGGCACTCGGGTCTTAATCCCCACCACTAATTCCCCTTGTTTAGATTTCACAGTCTCCAACATGTGGCAAGCCTGATACATTTTTTCACTGCACATTTCTGTATCAGTATTGGCTTGGCATCAAATCCATCCTTGTTCCTGCAGCAGTCCCACGCTTACCAACCTCTGGTGTTTAGGGAGGAACCCTGATGGTGTGGTGGATTAAGTGCTTTGGCCACTGACCACAACGTCAGCAGTTCAAACCCACCAGCTGCTCTGTGGAAGAAATATGAGGCTGCCTGCTCATATAAAGGTTTACCATGTGGGGCACTCTAAGGCCTGTAGGCTCAGTGTGGGTTGGCATTAACTACGAGGCAGTGGGCAATGGATGGCTCCTAAGGCGTAAGGTCTTTGAAATAAGAAGACAGTCAAGGCAGTACGATGTGACCAATGTCACTACTGCCAATGAGTCAGTAGGGAGAGGCCCTAGGAACTGTGTGCCATGCCTGGGCGATGTGGTACTCTCCCCTGGCATGCTGGGGTAGCATCAGAAAGGGCACCTTCTCAAGATGTATGGCTGTGGAGTCAATTCTGACTCATAGCGACCCTATAGGACAGGGCAGACATGCCCCTGTGTGTTTCCAAGATTGCAACACTGTCTGGGAGTAGAGAGACTCCTCTTTCTCCCTGGAAGCAGCTGGTGGTTTCAAACTGTTAACCTTTCTGCTAGCAGCCCCCACTTGCAATCCACTGTGACAGCGGGAAGCCTGGGGAGCTGTCAGTCCGACCAAATTGTCCGGTTGGTCCATTGGGAAAGAAACTTTGAACCGTGTTCTCCTCACTTCTCTGACTTTCATGGTTCATGCTCGGCGGCTGGGCTGACCTCATTTCCAACTCTCCTTCGTAACTGTTGACTCGTGACTAGAAACCGTATCACGAACCCATCTCCTGATCGTTCTTAAAATGTAAAATATCACGGACCCTCGTCAGTTCATAACCCCATCCAATTTTTACAGAGCCTTTGATTATATCCAGAGAGTTTGTCCTGTCATTTTTAATTAGCCCGACTTCCGAATGTGTCTTCCTTAACCTGGGAAGTCTCACCAGTGTAGTTATGGAAAGGCTTAATGCAGCTGAATCTTTTGACAAAGACAAAGGTAAAACAACAAAAATGGGGGGCCGTGAATAGCTATATGTGTTGCCGTTGCATGAAGACAATGACGTTCGCTCACGTACACTGTGATTGACGTGCGGTGTCTCCTTGGGCTTGCAGAGCACAGTGACGTGGACCAGGAGACGGCGCTGGCCGGGGCTCAGGGCTTCGTGGGCTGCCTCTCCGCAGTGCAGCTCAGCCACGTGGCCCCTCTGAAGGCTGCCCTGCATCCCAGCCACTCAGCCCCCATCACTGTTAAAGGACATGTGACTGAGTCCAGCTGTGCGGCCCAGACTGGCACTGACGCCATGTCGCGGGAAAGGACCCACTCATTCGCAGGTGCCTTTTGTTTCTTCCTTTACTGGTCACAACTTGCCTGTCCACCTGCTACTCAGGTTTCCCAAGATTCTTCTAAGCTGTGTGCCTTAGATGGGTTCTTATAGTCAGTTGTGTTTGTTTCATACCCAGTCTCTTTCTCATTTCTTTTCTTGAGTCTCAATTGCCCAACCACATGGGCCGCTAGAATTAATTGCTTGGGGGTCCCCATGTTTGCTCCTCTGATTCTACTCTGGTATAAAGCACTGATGGATTCTCCAATACCTTCTTTAACTCACCTGTATCATAACCTCCCCTCCCTTATTTTTCCCCCTTTAACTGCAGATCATTCGGGAAAGATCGATGACAGAGAACCCATAGCTAATGCCATCAGGAGGGACTCTGCGGTCATTGGAGGTAATGGGGAGCTTCGGTACCTGTCATCCTGACTAACAGTGGCGCCCACTTTAGGTGATAGAAAACATGTATGAAGAATCTGCTCAATTTGCCTAGTGTGAGGCACCGAATAGCCAGGCCAATGGGCTGCTTTGTTATTGGTAGAAATCCGCTTACCTTAGAGAATCCGACTGGTTTCCCAGTTTGTTTCAAGATTTTTCAGTTGAAATAATTAATGGCTTCACTTAAGCACCACATGCTGAAAATAGTTGCTAGACTGTGTGATAATGAGTATTGTTAGCTAGGAAATATCTATATGGAATACATATAGCATTCTGAAGTTGTTAAGAGGGGAAAGTTTCTATTCTGGCTTTATGGATGTATAATTGCTTCTGCAATTGTTTGGGTAAGGAACAGGAAAAACGTAGGATTGATAGTAGAATCCTATATTTTATGTTGCCTTAATGCTTAGTAAAATGGATGTCTGTGTGGTCCCAGTCTCCCCATCATTGAATTTTTCCCTTGAAGTTGTGATTTTTATCAAATGTTAGGCCAATGGACTGAAAGTAGTTCAGAGTTGTTTGAAATTATAGAATTAAAACAAAAATGTTTCAAGTCTCGTCCCAAGCAATACAAAGTAGTATATTCCCTGAAACAAAACCAGCTCCCCAAGCAGGCTTCTATTTTCCTTATTGATGTGACTAAGGTGGCTTTTGAATCAGATTATTGAAATATTTATTTGTTCACAAATTTCTGTGCACTCTACCTATGATGTAGACATACAAAAATAAACAATTATTCTGTGGCATTGCCACCAAAATAATGTGACTGCTCAGATACTCGGGCAATTATATTGGCTTTACACCTCATCCATTTGGTTCTATTTTTAAAGTCTTGCTCATTTAGATACCATCTTTCCCCAGGCGTTAGGAATCTGTTTAGACATTGCACAGGAGAACTGATCAAATCATGGTGCAGATATTAACACCTTCGTTGCTACTCCAACTCCTTTTCTTTTTTCAAAACCAAGTTGATTGTGTATAAATTAAATCACATAGAATAGGACCCCATTTGCTTCACCTCACAAACAAACCAACATAAACCATGGTGCAAGCGAAGACAATGCATGTTTGTCTTTAACTCCTTTCCAGCTGTGGCCTTTAAAATGTGCTAAACATCATAAACTTGGACCCCTGGTGAGCACATTGCCTATGTCTCAAAATGGCGCTCTTTCTAAACATGTAACCACGGTGGATAGATCCAGATAGAAATGTTGAGTGATTGTCTAGTGAAGTCGGTGTTAGAACAAATGATTGAATCTTTGGAATATTGTTGCTGTAGGCAACAATCACTGGTAAAAGCAAGAGGTGGAGGTGCGGGCATGTGGGTCAGACCTGCTGGTGTTACTCTAGAGTGGACATAGGTGATGGTCCACCTGGACAATCTTCTCCTGGCTGGAGTGATGGGACAAAGGACGACAACCTGGAAGGCTTCTATTTCTGGGGGTCCATGAGGGCCCACTTTTCTCATTGCAGTGGCTTCTACGGTCTCGTCTGCTACCGCATGACTACGGCATCCCCATCTATTGTCCATGTGCCGATTGCTCCATCTGTGGAACACTCAGCTCTTTGTCTCAAAAACAAAAATCAACTCACTGCCCCTGAGTCCTTTTGGACTCATAGAAACCCCAGCAGACCGGGTAGAAATGCCCCTGTGGGTTCCAAGACTAACTCTTTATGAGAGTAGAAAGCCTCACGTTTCTCCCTGCCACGTGACTGGGGGTCTGAAACTGGTGATCTTGCAATTAGCAGTCACCCTCTAGGCCACCAGGGCTCTTGTCTACTTACTCTTGGGTACTTATCATTGCTCCCACTCTGTCCCAGTGAGGCACACTGGTCGTGCTGTCTGATAAGGGATGGGCTGCTAACTGCACGATTGGCAGTTCAAATCCACCAGCTCTATGGGAGAGCGATGAAGCTGTGTGCTCCCATATATATAGCCTTGGCAACCCCATCTACGGCTGCTGTGAAGTGGAATCTACTTGATTGCCAGGGGGATGGGGCTTTTTATGTGCCACTGAGGGCCGTGTTGGCTAAGTGGTAGAATCCTCACTTTCTTTGGAAGACTTGACCGGCACACCTTATGCTCAGCTTATGGGTACCTGTCTATCAGTGGAGGCCTGCGCGCTGCTGTGCTGTGGGCTAAGATGGGCTAGGAAGAAACACTTGGGTAATCTACTGCCCACACTCAGCCAGTGAAAACCCCCTGGACCACTCTGGTCCCATACCATTGTGACTGAGTTACCACGGGATGGAGGTCGATACTGGCTCTATTGAAGGGCTTCTCACGTGGGCTGTGTGTTAAGCTGGGTTGACTAAAGAAGTAAAGCTAGTGACACTCAGATGTATAAGAAAGAATTTTCTATCAAGAAGTAATTTTGTATCAGGACGGCATCCCAGCCCAATCCAACTCAAGTCCATGGGGCTGAGGCTAGCTGGCGGCCTCTTCAGACCCATGGAGCTGCAGGCCCATGGAACAGTAGGGTGAACTGGGGAGCAGGAAGGTCCCAGGCTGGTGAGTACAGAACCCTCTGTATGCAAAGTCACAGGAACCTGGCAGGGCACTGATAGCTCGCAGGGTCAGCGGCCCACCGGAGTCACTCCCGGAGGCAAACCCAGAAGCCAAGCAAACAGGAAGGTGAAGGGCAAGGGGGAGAGAGAGGAGTTCCTAGTGTCTCCTTATAAAAAGCCACACCCCCAAGGAGACGTCATCAGGCTATGACCCGAGAGACAGGTTGAACTCTGCCCCTACTTTCTTTAAAACATTTTTTAAAAAATTTTACATCATTTTATTGGGGCTCTTACAACTCTTGTGACAATTCATACATCAGTTGTATCCAACATATTAGTACATATATTCCATCATTCTTTTCTAGACATTTACTTACCATTGAACCCTTGGGATCAGCGCCTCTTCACACGCCCCCACACCCCCAATCCTCTTGGCCCCTTGATAGATTATAGATTGTTAATTATTTTAAAATCTCATTGCTGTCTCCCTTACCCTCAGGTTTCTGTTTTTCTTCCCCCTGGATGGGGGTGTGTGGTTATATGCCATTCATTGTGATCAGTAGCCACCTCCCTCACTACGTCTCTCCACCTTCCCCCTGCCTTTTTGGTTTCTTTATTCCCATTCCTGATCCTGGGTTCCACCTGCCGTGAGTTGTATCTCTTGCCTATACCTATGTACATGCTCCCGTCTCGTCTAGAGTGGGACGCGGCACTGGGGTCATGACAGGGGGGGTGAGGAGGCCTCAAGGGATCGAGGAGTATATTGCATGATCCCCAGGTTGAAGGTGACATAAAAATCTCACCATCACAGGCTAATAGACC